AACAACAAATGTTGACAAATGAAATCGTTGTTACTATTTAAAGAAAGCAAACAGTAAGCAGTAGGTACAGATGAGTGTTGAAGCAAGTCCCCCAGATTCCACTCGTGATCTACTTTATAGGAGAGGGACCCTATACATTGCGAAAGGGTTCTGATTACCTTTCCCTCAAACCGATGACTGTTTGTATGCCCCTAGGTGAGCTCAGGTGTCATCAGGTGTACAGCGGCTTAGGTGCTGACTTTATACCACCACAGCTTCCAGGCCTCTGGCTCCATGCTGCCGGGTCCCATCTAGCCCGCCCCTACCTCTCTTCCTGGGAACCACATACTTTTACTGCTGGGGCTCACATCATGGTGTACTCCACTGCCAGGTGACCCCTGCACCAGGTCTTGCAATCCTTTACTGGTCTCATACCACCACCCTGCTCTTCCATTGGAACAGCTCTTGTCTGAAAGCTGGTCTTTGGTGTTAAATACCTTTCTGTACAGTCTTGGTACTAGGAAGTTCTTAGCACAGAGCCCTAGGTCCAAATGGCTTACTTTTGCATTCTTTTTGTTAGGGAGGCCTTCAAAACCTCTGTAGAATTGGCCATTTATATAGTAAAATTCTGTGCCAGTTTGAGGGTAGAGCTACCCAGCAGGAATGCAGCCTAATCAGTCATGTTGGGTGGATTGTAAACCCAGAAAGGCCACATAAAGAAACCCACTGTTCCCATCACCCTGCCTCTGGTTTTATTCCTGGCACATATATCCTTAGTCTAGAGCATCTTTCAAAAACTCAGATCATGTATTAATTTTTCTATTAGGAACTTTATTTGTTTCACAAATCTAAAGCCCCTACACAAGGTGCTCAGTGCTTAGGATAATTGTTATGTGCCATTAAGTCGCCTGTGACTCATAGAGACCCTGCATACAACAGCCTTTAACCCTGCTCTATCCCTTGCCAATCTTATTGTCTACGACACACCTATCTCCAGTACCCCAGTGACCGAATCAATCCATCTCGTTGAGAGTCTTCTTCTCCTGCCCTGTCCTTCTACCCTCCCAAGTATGACATCCCTCTCCAAGGACTGACTCCGCCTTGCAACATGTCCAAAGTTGGTCTTACAAAGCTTCACAATCCTTGCCTCCAAGGAGCAGCCTGGCTTCACCCTCTCCAGGACAAACTTGTTTGTTCTCCTAGCATTCCATTGTATATTCATTACTCTTCTCCAGCACCACAGCTGAAAGGCATTAATTCTTCTCCTATCATCTCTAGTCATTGTCCAGCTCTCTGATGCAAATCTTAGGATAATGAGTTCTACCTAATTCTTCCTGACATAGACTGGTGAACACATCCAGGACTGCATCTGTCATTTGAAACACATCTGTTGGTATCTTATTGATTCCAAGGGCCTTATTTTTTGCCAGTGCCTTCAGTGCAGCTTTAACTTCTTCCTTCATTACCATTGGCTCTTGATTATGTGATGTTTCATATCCTAAAATATTTCAATGTTGTTATCTACCGTAGAATCAGAAATGACCCATCACTGACCCTCCAGTGGGTTTTCAGAGGCAGTTATTCACAGATTGCCCATCCTTCTCCTGCAAAAAAGCTGATGGCTTTGAACTGCATGTCTTTGGCATGGCCTTGAACTGTGCAGCTTCTTGCCACTACACCACCAGTGTTGGCCAATTCTTTTTGGTACAGTGACTCTGTATTCCCTCCATCTTCTTTTGATCTTTCCTGTATCATTCAAGATTTTGCCCAGAGCAGCATCCCTAAGGGTTGCAACTTGAGGCTTGAATGTTTTTGTCCTGGGTTCTTTCAGCTTGAGAAATACTGAGCTAGTTCTTCCCCTTTCATTCCCACATCTAGGTCTCTGCACATTCCTACGTTCCTTTATCATAGTCAACTCTCTTTCTGAGCTGCCTTTTGAAATCTTTTGTCAGCTCTTTTCTTTCAGCATATCTTCCTTTTGTTTTAGTTTCTTGATGCTCGAGTGCATTTATGAGAATCTCTTCTGACATTCTTTTTTGGGTTTTTTTTTCTTTTTTTTTTTTGTGAGCTTTTGCTCTCTTGATGGATAATACATTAATGTCATCCCGTAACTTATCTGATCTTCAATCATTGGTGTTCAGTGCCTCTAACTTCTTCTTAGGATGATTTTGAAATTGAGTTGGGGCAGACTCAAGATCATATTTTGGTTCTTGTGCACTTCATTTTCTTCAGTGTCAGTTTAAACTTTCCCATGAGTCTGTTTCACAGTCAGCACCTGGCCTGATACTGACTGCTGATACTGAACTTCTCCAACGATTTCTTGTAAACATACAGTCAATCTGATTCCTATACAGTCCATCTGGTGAGGCCCTTATATAAAATCACTGTTTGTATGCTTTAAAAATGTTATTTGTGATAGGTAAATTATTGAATAGACAAAATTTTATCATTCTGTTTCAGACCTCATTTCTGTCACCAAGTCTGTACTTTCAAATCACCCTTCTTTCTTCATTGTTTCCAACTTTTGCATTTCAGTCACCAGTTATCATTAATGCCTTTTAATTGCATGTTTGGTCAACTTGAGACTGCAAAACTTGATAAAAGTTTTCAATTTCTTCCTCTTTGGCTTTAGCTGTTGGTGCATATATTTGAATAAAGTCACATTAAAAAGTGTTCCTTGTATGGATAATATCCTATCATTCACAAAATTGCACTTCCAGAAAGAGCTTGAGGTTGCCTTTTTAACTATGAGTGCAAAACCATTCTTACTCTTTTTTATTCCCAGCATATTATACCATGTGATTATCTGAGTGAGAGTGGCCAAAGCCCATCCATCTCATCTCACTAATGCTTAGAATGTCAGTGTTCATGTCCTCCACTTCATTTCTCACAGCTTCTGATTTTCCAACATTCATACTCTGTGCTGTCCTTGTTCCAACTATTGAAGAATGTTTGCAGCTGTTTCTTCTTATTTTGAATTACTTCTGACCAGGGCTCTACCTTTAATAATATATCTATCCATGTTCCTCTCTTGTTCGTACACTGCTTTCAGAAGCCTGTTATTTTAGAAGTGGTGGGTTAGTCTTACTTCCTAGGCTGTCTTAATCTGAACACTTAATTGGGCTTGTGTAAAACCTAAACCCAGACCAAGAAGCTTGTGCAAACAGAACAAGGTTTAAAATTAAGAAACGTATGTGTCATGGTTGTATCTTTTCTCCATACCTATTTAATCTGTATGTCGAGCAGATTATTTGAGAAGTTGGACTCTGAAAAAAAATGTAGCATCACGATGGGAGGAAGACTCATCATTAACCTTCATTATGTGGATTACACAAACTTACTTGCTGAGGTTGAGGAGTACTGAAAGCACTTGCTGCAGAAGATCAAAGACTGCAACCTTCAATATGGATTACATCTCCATGCCAAGAAAACAAAAGTCCTCATCACTGGACTGATAGGCAATGTCATGATAAATTGAGAAAAAGATTATGACCAATGACTTCATGTTGCTTGGATCCCCAATCTGTATTCTTGGTACCAGAAGTAGGGAGATCAGGAAATGTATTGCACAGGGAAAGTTTGTAGTTAGGGGCTTCTCCACATTATTGAGGAGTAATAATGTCAGTTTGAAGACTGAGGTGCACCTGATCCAGGCTATGGTCTTTCACTCAACTTGCTGTTCATCTGAGAGCAGGGCAGTGAAAAAAGAATGATAAAAGAAGAATTGATGCCTTCCCGCTGTGGTGGTAGAGGAGAGTTTTGAATATCCTATGGACTGCCAAAAGAACAAACAAATATGTCTTGGAGAAGGTAGGGCCAGAGTCCTCCTTGAAGGCAAAGATGATAAAGTTTTGTCTCACATACTTAGGTCATGTTGCTAGGAGAGGCAGCTTCTTGGAGAGGGACATCATGCATGAAAAGGTGGAGGGACAGTGAAGGAGAGGATTGACAAAATTACTACAACAATGAGCTTGAGAGAGAGATTGTGCGAATGGTATAGGATAAGTTGGGGTTCAGATCTGTTGTTCTTAGAGTCATTACGAGTCGTGCTTGATTTGTCGGCATCTAATTCTTCAGACTCTTTTTTAGCTACTAGTTCGCTGTCCTTTGTAGTGCAGCCACAATATATACAGTGTACCATTGCTACTCTTTTAATCATTCCTTATTGTTTATGCTTCTGTGTCATTGCCTGTAGTATTTCCCCTTTGTTTTCTTTGTATCATCGTTTGTAACCTCTTCTGGGTATATTTCTTTGGTAATGCTTTTGCTGATTTCTTACAGACACAATTATACTATTCCGTGTAAATCACTTCATGCCCTAATCTGCTTTACAGCCATATACATCTTTCCTTTATTCTCTTATTTAACACCAATGCTGTATCATGATTATTGGTTTAATTGCAAAACTGTGTATTCTTAGAGGTTTGTACTTTGTTTTACTTATCTTTGTACTTTTTATTCACAGCTAGTGCTGTGCTGAATAATTGTTTGCTGAATTGAATGCTTGGTTTTTTGGTTTCCAATTTTTTGGAAAAGAAAACCATAGCTTGAAATTGTGTGGGGTTTTGCAAATTATTGCATGTGAATTGGTGTGAATTCATAGTTTATAGTGATTTTTTTATTAGTTAGCTGATACTTTCTAAATCATAGATAAGTGATTCAGTTCACTTACTAGCTTTTAAAAATAGAGTTTGAACAACAATCCACTTAATGTAACTTATTATTTCCCTTGTTTCACTTGTATCCCACCAAAAAGGAAAGGTCCACAAGGCAAAAATACATAAGAAAACTCCGGTGATAATAATTCCATTGACATTTCTGTGTTTTCTTATATTCTGTATACATGCATGTTGTAATCTCATGTATTTGTGGGCATATATGTGATTGTCTCTCATAAATATACATTGTAGGACAAAAGAAAGAATAAAGAATATCTTCAAATTAATGTTAATTCAGTGTTATTTAATTTAAGTTGAAAAATCAGATTTTCAAGAACAATTAATCCTACTTTATATGTTCAGATTGAGCTAAGAGAACAAGAGATAGAACGACTGTCATTGGCATTGGATGGTGGTCGCTGCCCGGATATCCTCACTCTGGAGAGCAGAAATAAAACCAATGAGAAACTTATTGCTCATTTAAATGTTCAGGTAATGGCTTTTATAATTATTTCACAGAATTTGCAAAATCATGGTGTTAAAATGATCTGTGGGTTTTTAAAAGTGGCATGGGTCTTTACTGAGATTAAATGGAGAAAATTTTGCAGGAGTCAAAAAGGTTAAAGAAATAATATGCTTTAGAGTACAATTATTGAAAAAACCATGAGGGTTTTTTTGGGAGGAGATAAAGGTTTACTATTTAGAAATATAAAGAATTTCTATAATTCAGAACAGAGACAAACAGTCCACTCAGAATATGCATAGAGGACTTGAAGAGAGATTTCCCCAAAGAGCTATACAAGTAACTACCTGAAAATATGCTTCAGTCATCTTTGTTGGCTACCTTCAAGTCAGCCCCTGACCTAGTCTCACCGAGACTACATCATTATGATCCATTATATTTTCATTAATCGGTTTTCAGAGATAGAGCCATTAAAACCTATTCAGCATCATAACAACATGCAAGCTTACACTGGCAGAGTGGTGGTTACTGTGCATTAAAATAATGTTTTAAAGTCTGTTTATTTAGTCAAAAACATATTCATCACAGTGTTAAATATTTTTAAAACGAGAACTCTATGCACAATGTAATCTTAAATTTTCTTTTTAAGAATTTATACACTCAGAGAAAGTACTGTTGTTATTGTATGTGCTGTCGAGTCAGACCAATTCCTAGTTGACCCGCCAATGGATTTTAGAGGCTATAAATTGCACGAGAAGAGATTTCCTGTCTTTCTTCCTTGGAGCACCTGATATATTTGAACCACTTGCCTTTGCTCTGGCAGTGCAACTCCTTACCACTAGGCCATCACAGCTCCCCTACAGAAAATAGTAGAAAAGAATATATCAAAATACACTTCAAAATTTATCACTGAATGGGGAGGGTTGGGAGGGGAGAAAAGTGCAACAATGAAAGAATTTACAGAGTCTCTGTAAATTTTCATTGAAATTAATAATAAATTTTTTTAAAAAGAATTTTACTTTCTGTATTCTTAGGAATATGCTGTTTTTATAATGCAAAGAAGATTTTATCTTACTGAAATGTAAGAAGTCAAATGCATAGTGTGTTTCTAGCTCTACAGTGAATTGCTTTGCCATTCATTTGATTTAAGGGTAAGAGAGTAGAGGAGCATGACTTGAGAACTTTAGAACTTTAGCTATGTCAGAGCTCTTGCGCTATAACCATAGTAGGTCATGTCAAAACATTGGCTTATGGTATGACTCATTTTTGTAATTTAAAATTATCTAGTAGTCTGATTTTAAAAAGTAAAAAGAAACAGGAAAATTAATAGTATGTATTATTCACCCCAATATGTTAGTGCTGCTAAATGCTGTCAAGTCAATTATGACTCATAGTGACCCTATACACAATGGATCTGAATACTCCCCTATCCTACGCCAACTTGTAATCAATATTTAAAATTGTTGTTGTTATGTGCCGTCGAGTCACTTGCGACTCATAGCGACCCTATGTAGAACAGCCCTAAACTCTGCGCTATCCTGTGCCAATCGCACTGTCTCCAATACACCTATCCCGATTACCCCAGTCACTCAATCAATCCCACCTCATAGAGGGCCTTCCCCTCCTGCGCTGTCCCTCCACCCTCCCAAGCATGATGTCCCTCTCCAAGGACCTATCTCTCCTTACAACATGAAAGTATGTTAGACAGAGCCTCAGAATTATTGTTTACAAGGAGCAGCCCGGTTTAACCCTTTCCAGGATGAATCTGTTTGTTTCTTGGCAGTCCATGGTACATTCAGTACTCTTCTCCAGCACCACAGCTCAAAGGCATCAATTCTCCTTCTATCCTCCTTAGTCATTGTCCAACTCTCTGATGCATAACAAGTGATTGCAAAGACCATGGCCTGTATCAGACGCACCTTAGTCTCCAGAGAAACACCATTGCTCGTCAGTACTTTGGAGAGGTCCCTAACAGCAGACTTTCCCATTGCAATACGTCTTTTAATTTCCTGGCTACTGGTGCCAAGAGTGTTGACTGTGGAGCCAAGCAAAGATATATTTTGCAGTTCTGGGTATTAACTTTTTAATATCCCTGTGTATATTCTCTTTCTATACTGATTTTCAGTATCGAAATTCACATTTCTTAGTGTGACATATTCATTTCTTCATTCCATATCGTTTGGCCTAGCCACATTTCAAATGTTCAGTAGCCACGAGTAGATGCTGTCGACTCTTATGTGGGACAGCACAGTCTACAGGAATATCACAGTGACATTCTTGTCATATTTTCAGAACTCTATGTTGGGGGAAAAGTTCATGAAAGTTTTAAATATCCTTTCCTTTTATACTTGAAAATCAAAGCCAGTGGAGAGATATTTTTATCAAACCACACATTTTCAGTTTAGCAAATCAGAACAATGTCGGTTTGCAAGTAACATAGTGGTGGTTTACATTTTTGACATCTTTTAAAATGTAGGATTTTGAAAAGTTTATGATCAAGGATAATTTTGTATCTTACATGCCTTACAAATTACAAATTCAATCTAGGTTGACTTTCTTCAGCAAGCTAATAAAGACCTGGAGAAGCAAATACAAGAGCTTTTGGAGAGCAAGGAAACAGTCACTACTGAAGTTGTTCATTTGAGTAACAAAAATGAAAAACTTTGCCAAGAATTGACTGAAATAGACCAGCTAGCACAGCAACTGGAAAGACATAAAGAAGAAGTGCTTGAGACTGCTGATAAAGAAATTGGGGAAGCAAAGGTACGGACATGTCTGGGTTGTGGTAATGTTCATTAGTTCTCCTAGAATGCCGCTTGAGACCCTTGATCTTTTCTTTTTTTTTTTTCCTTTTGCAAGATTTCCTTTTGCACATACCATAAGAAAATGCTGACTTCTCTTAATAAGTGTTATTTCCCCCTTTAAATAGCTGCATCTGTTTTCATTGTCTTTCAAGCACTCTTATTAGGATAGATCTCCACACATTTTTCCCCTTTTCCTTTGAAACATCCATCTTTGTCTTTTTCTCCTTGTATTATGGGAGAGCTGCTCAGTTTATCCTGTATGTCATTTTATGCTTCACTTCAGAAAAGGTATTTTTCACTCTGGAAAGCAGTTTGGTATTCCTCAAAAAGCTGAACATAGAAATTCCATATGACCCAGCTATTCCACTTGGAATATACCCTAAAAAAAATTACAACTGAGGCACAAACAGAGATTCGTGCACTAGTCTTCATAACAATGTCATTCACCATCACAGTGACATGGAAACAGCCCAAATGTCCAATCACTATCAAAAAAGATTGAGAAGTTCTGGTACATTCACACAATGCAATATTATGCACCATGCAGAAGTAATGATTTTGTAAATGACTACCTAACTTGGGAGGGACTGGAGATCATTATGCTAAGTGAACCCACTCAGTTCTGTAAGGACAAGTACTATATAAGACCATTATTGTGAAAATACGAAGATAACTAGTAAAACATGTATGAGGATCCAAGACGTGGAGAGGGTAGGAGCAGAGAGGTGAGGATGGGGCTAGGGGATAATCATGGGGTCACATAATCTGATGGGTAGAAGGGAGGTGTGGATAAAGGAAATGGGAAAGATGCGGTATGAAAAACAATGTATTTGGACTTTGTAAGTAAGCAAGTCTGTATTTTTTTTTAAATGTTTTTACAAAACTGTATGTGCCCTTGTACATTTTTAATTTGGTAGCTGATGTTTAGGTTTAAATGTTGTTGTTGTTGTTGTTGTTATGTACCGTTGAGTCACCTGTGACTCATAGAGACCCTGTATACAACAGCTGCCTGTTCTGAGCCAGTCTCATTGACTCCAACACACCTACACCCATTTCTCCAGTTTCTGTATCAATCCATCTCATTGGGGACCTTCTTTTCCTCTGCTGTCCTTCCACCCTTCCAAGCCTGTATTTTCCTAAAAAGATTAAATAGGTGCAAAGGATATAATTTCCAATCTATGGCAAATACTGTCTTCTTTAAAACTTACCTATTTTTCAGTACAAGCAATGAAATCTAAGTGTAATGGATTTTTATGACAATTTGATACCCTTTCCTGTGTATTAAAGGAGTTTGGATGGTTTAGTGTGTAACCCTTATCAGGCTGCTAACCAGAAAGTCATCAGTTTGAATGTGTCTGCTACTCCGTGGGAGGAAGATGGGCAATCTCCTTATATAGAGATTTACAACCCCAGAATGCTGCTGGAGGGTCTGCAGGAGTTGAAACTGACTTGGTGGCAGTGGGTTTGGTTTTCTTTATTGTCCATTTAGAAAAGTACATACTGAGTTTTGTTTTTTTTTTAAAAAAAAAAGTTTGAGTGTTTCCATGCAGCATACCAAGTTCTTTCCTAACAGATGCTTTAAATGATTTCTCTCCTCTTTCCTTGAAATCCCATTTTCAAATCACGTCCTCATAAAAATTTGCCTGTATTAGTATATTTTTCAACTGACAGCAGTCAAAAATAAGGCATTGCATTGCACTGCGAAAATCTACAGTCAGGGACCTCTCTAAATTATTGAGGAGTAATGATGTCACTCTGAGGACTAAGGTACGTATCATTCAGGCCAGGGTCTTTCTGATTCCTTACTGTGCATCTAAGAGCTGGACAGTGACTAAAGATGACAGAAAAAGAATTGACGCCTTTGAGCTGTGGTGTTGAAGAGCACTTAATATCCCATGGCCAGCCAAGAGAACAAACATATATGTCTTGGAGAGGGTGCAGCTGGAGTGCTCTTTGGAGGCATGGATGACAAGGCTTCACCTTTCATACTTTGGGCATGTTGCTAAAAGGGCCTGTTCCTTGGGGAAGGACATGATGCTGGGAAGGGTGGAGGGTTGGCAAGGGAGAGGAAGACCCTCTAAGAGAAAGCTCCAGACTCCCTTCCATAGTAGTTATATCATTTTACATTCTACTAGCAGTGAATAAGAGTACCAATCTCTCCACAGCCTTTCCAGCATTTGTTGTTTACTGATTAATATATTTTTGTGCTTAGAGAGCTCTGGTGGCCTAGTAGTAAGAAGCTGTGCTGCAGACCCGAAGGCACAAGGTTCAAATCCACAGATACGCATTCTCCTCCCATGCAGTCAACTGCCTCTGAAAACCCGCTGGAGGATCTGCTATGGGTCGGGTCTGAGGCAACTGTATAGTCAAGAAGGTAGCACTAATAGTTTGTCGTCTTAGTTGACTAATAACCAGGTTGGTAGGAGTTTGAACCCACACAGCTGTACCATGGAAGAAAATTTGGGGGTCTACCACTATAAGGCTTATAGCCAAGCAAACTGTATGCCGCTCGGTTCTACTTTGCAGTGTGTAAGGTTACTTTGAGTAGGCATCAGCTTGACAGCAGTGCACTTGATAGAGCCAAGTGATAGATACAAGTTATTGATTACCTAAAGCTGTGTGCACCGCGTGATTTTTCCCCCCCACATCATTCCAGGGTTGGTATAGCGTGTTTGAAGACCATGCCTTCATGAATTGTTGCAATGTGCCATTGAGTTGCTTATGACTCAGAGTAACCCTCTATACAACAGGTTTTTTACCCTGCTCTATTTTTAGCCCACCTCTGGTCTCTGACACACCTACTCCTATTACCCCAATCACTGGGTTAATCCATCTCATCCTCTTGTGCTATCCCTCCATCTTTCCAATCATGATGTCCCTCTCTAAGGACTGGTCCCTCCTTATAACATGCCCAAAGTTTGTCAGATGGAGCTTCAGAATCCTTACCTCCAAGGAGCAGCCTGGTTTCACCTTCTCTAGGATGAACCTGTTTATTCTCCTAGCAGTCCATGGTATATTCAATACTCTTCTCTAGCACCACAGCTCACATGCATCAATTCTCCTTCTATCATCCTTAGTCTTTGTTTAGCTTTCTGATTCATGGCAAGTAATTGTGAAGACCATGGCCTGGATCAGGTGCACCTAAGTCTCCAGACTGACATAATTGCTCTTCAGTACTCTGGAGAGGTCCCCTGCAGATTTTCCAAATGCAGTTCGTCTTTTGATTTCCTGGCTGCTGGTACCAAGATTTAGTGGGGATTTAATTCTCTTTTTGTCATTTTTTTTTTGTAATATAGTCCTATGCCTAATTTCTTTTCATTTGTATCTCAGCCTTAGTATGTCTTTGCTGCACACATAATAAACTAAACACAACTTCTCATGTCTTGCTGATAATGTTCAAGAATGGTAACCTGGTTCAACAGAAGATTTTTATTAGAATGGACAACATTTTAATAGCTTTCTCAGTTGCAGTATAAGGATCCAAGTTAGTGACGGCAGGTACAGAAAGCAAGTTGTTGTTACATACCATCCAGTCAGAACCAACTCATAGCTGACCCTCTGACAGGTTTTCAGAGGCAGTAAGTATACTAACTGCACAGAAGGGATCATTGGTGACTTGGTGGCAAGAAACTGTGCTGCAGTCCTGAAGGCAATGGTTCGAGGCCACTAGCTGCTCTGCGGGAGAAGGATGGGCAATCTCCTGAGCGATTAACTGCCTCTGAAAACCCACTGGAGGGTCTGCTATGGGTCAGTTCCTACTGAACGATACACAACAGTAGCAACACACCGCAGAGAAGGAAATTGCCTGTCTTTCTCCTATGAACTGACTGGTGGATTTGAACTGCATGCTTTTGAGTTGGCAGTGCAATTCATTAACACTAAACCCTCAGGAAATTTGGAAAATGATAGTGCCCTAAAATATATCCTAAAAATCAAGCTTTAAGAAAAGTCCTAGCTATCTAGGTAAAATATGATTTCCAAATGCTTTCTTGCTTCAGATATTAAAATAAATATCTGGGAACATTTAGGATACCAGAAGATTAAAATAAGCCTTTACTTCTTTCTCTTTGAAATTAAGTATTAGGTGTGAAGCCTCAAATCGGTCTCATTAATTTTTTAATTTTATTTTATTAATTTTAATGAACATTTACAGAGATTTTGGATTTCCATTCATTCATTGTTGCACTTTTCTCCCTGCCAAGCCCTTCCCCCCATTCCGCTCCTTTCTTTGGAAAGTAAATGAAAAATTCTTTCATTGGTATACAATTCCCACCGCACCCCTTTCACTGCCCCGAGTACACTCCACTATGCAACCTTAATTCTGGACTCTTGTGATAACCATAATACTCTATCATGTAAAACATGAACTACTTCAGAAATTGTTTTTCTATGCATTATAACTTAATTATAAATACTCTTAGAATTTTAGATGTTTACTTGTTAGGCTTTTGTACTCATTTAAGATATTTAATTCTGTTTAATTCGATGTTTTAATATATGGATTGATAGAATTCTTAGGTTTTTGTACTCATTTAAGATGTTTAATTTAGTGTTTTTGTAGATGGAATTCGATAGAAATCCACAATGTGTGTTCACAGATTTGCTTGGCCATTATCATGTCCCAGTCAACCTGTGGATCCTAGTCAGTTTACATTTTCATTATCTCAAAAAGAAATGTCATTCCAAGTATCTAGTATCTATTTATGCCCCTTTTTAAAGGTTCTCCTCCCTAAATACACACAAATCAGCTTACTGTTTCTATAGAATTCTCCCTTTTGGACTTTCATAGAAATGGAATCATGTAGGATGTAGTGTTACAGTGTCTGAATGCCTTAATTTAACAATGTTACAGCATATAGCAATATTACATTCCTTTTTCTGGCCAGTTAATACTCTGCTGTATGGACTTACCACATAGTGTTCATGCATTGATGGGCATTTAGATTGTTTTTATCTTTCGGCTGCTTGTAATAATGCTGTTCTAGGAAATTTTTTTTTAACAAACTCTTAAGTCTTTTCAAGTCTTTTATAGCAAAAAGTATTTTAAATGTGAGCTGTGGCTATATATTAATATTTTGATGTGGAAATATCAAAAAAAGGGGAAAATATATGGAACTACTAATGGTGTAAAGTTTCAGTATGTGTGGGTGGCCCATTTAATACATTTTTTTATTTAAATAAAATTTTCATTTTATACTGGTTTACTTACAAAGTTTGTATACATTGTTTTTCACACTAGATCCTTCCCGTTTCCTTTACTCACCCCTCCCTCTACCCATCAAATTGTTCGACCCTGTGATTAACCCTCTCTCACCTCTCCCCCCACATGCTCACCACTCTGCTCCCATCCTCCCCACCTTGGATACTCATACATGTTCTATGTAACCGATCTTGTACAGAATTTGTCTTTATTGGGACTGAGTTAGTTCACCTTAGCATAATGCTCTCCAGTCCCTGTCAAGTTAGGCAGTAATTTACAAAATCATTGCTCCTGTGTATTACATAGTATTCTATCATGCGAATGTACTATAATTTCTCAATCCATTTGATTGTGGTTGGACATTTGGGCTGTTTCCATGTTCTTGTAATGGTGAATATCGGTTCTGTGAACATTGGTGTACACATCTCTGTTTATGCCTCAGTTCTCATTCTCTCGAGGTATATTCCAAACAGTGGAATACCTGGGTCATATGGAATGTCTATGTTCAGCTTTTGGAGGAAATATCAAACTGCTTTCCAGAGTGGTTGTACCATTTTACAGCCCCACCAACAATGTATAAGAGTTCCTATCTTATTACATCCTTGCCAACATTCATTATTTGCTGTCCTGTTAAACTTTGCCACTGCTTCAGGGATAAGATGGTATCTTATTGTGGTTTTGATTTTAATCTCTCTAATTGCCAGTATTCTGAGCATTTCTTCATGTGTCTGTTGGCCATCTGAATATCTTCTTCTGTAAAAAGTTTTTCCATGTCTTTTGCCCATTTTATAATTGTGTTATCATTTTTTTTCTGTGGAGGCCCTGTAGGAATCTGTAAGCTTTTGATAACAGACCCTTGTCTGAAATGGTATATCCAGATGTTTTTTCCACCTAGTCGGCAGGTTTTCTTTTCACGTTTTTGGAAAAAATTTTTGATACACACAAGGATTTAATCTTTAGAAAGTCCCATTCTTCAATTTTATCCTCACCGGATTGAGCATTTCTGGCTATGTTTGGCTTTCTCTTTATACCAGAGTCTAGACTCTTAAAGCTTGATCCCAGTTTGTCTTTGATGACCTTTATGATTTTGGGCTTAGCTTCCAGGTCGCTGATACACGTTGTGTTGATTTTTATGTATGGTGTGAAGTATAGATCGGTTTCAGCTTTCTGAAGGTAGCAGTCCAGCTTTGCCAGAACCAGTTGCCGAAGAGATTGTCTTAATAACTTAGTAAGTTATGGTTGGTAGTGATTTATCAGTATGTTGTTGTTGTTATGTGCCGTCGAGTCGCTTGTGACTCATAGCGACCCTATGGACAATGGCCCTAAACTCCACTCTGTCCTGTGCCAGTCGCACTGTCTCTGACACTTCCATCCCAATTATCCCAGTCACTGAATCAATCCACCTCATAGAGGGCCTTCCCCTCCTGCACTGTCCCTCCACCCTCCCAAGCATGATGTCCTTCTCCAAGGACCGGTCTCTCCTCACACCATGTCCAAAGTATGTTAGACGGAGCCTCAGAATCCTTGCCTCCAAGGAGCCACCCGATTTGACCCTTTCCAGGATGCATCTGTTTGTTTTCCTAGCAGTCCATGGTACTCTCAATACTCTTCTCCAGCACCACAGCTCAAAGGCATCAATTCTCCTATCCTCCTTGGTCATTGTCCAACTCTCTGATGCACAACAAGTGATTACGAAGACCATGGCCTGTATCAGACGCACCTTAGTCTCAGAGAGGCACCATTGCTCCTCAGTACTTTGGAGAGGTCCCTAACAGCAGACATTCCCATGGCAATGCGCCTTTTAATTTCCTGGTGCCGAGAGTGTTGACTGTGGAGCCAAGCAAACTAAAGCTGTGAACAATCTCAATTTCTTCACCACCCATCCTGATGCTGCCAGTTGGTCCAGTGGTGAGAATCTTTGTCTTCTTGACATTGAGCCTCAATCCATATTGGAGGCTGCAGTCCTTGACCCTCTGCAGCAGGTGCTTCAAGTGCTCCTCAGTTTTAGCAAGCAGGGTTGTGTCATCTGCATAGTGCAGATTATTGATAGATCAGAAAATTTAATTGTTAATTTGCTTTTTCCTCTCTTTTATTCTCTTTTAAAATTGGATAACACAATCATTCTTATACATCATGTTTCTTTCATATACACTGTGTTTTATATGAACATAATTCCTATGCATTTTGTTTTACATAATATTGATCAGTGCCTTTTATCCCCCATCTCATCAAGTCTCCCTTGCACCGTGACTACTCCTTCATCCTCCCCATCTGTTCACTGATCTCTGCTGTCCTACTGACTTCTCCTATCCATTTGATTGTCTTCCTTCTCCCCATCCAAATCCTTTTTTTGAACAGTTGCACATACCATTTCTATTTGCTAATTGCAGTATCTCTACTGTCTTATGTTGCTTTTAAAATTATGAATATTCAGATGAGTATGAGGTGTAACTTAAAGTTAAAAATATATTTTATAAGTATTTGATTAAACATTTGTGGTTTTCCACCTTAAAAAAAATACTGCTTTAAACAGTCTTATGTAGACTTTTGTATGGACATGTTTTCATTTCTTTTGAGGTATACTTAGTTGTAATATTCCTGTGTCATATTTAATGCCTTGAAGAACAGCTAGATTGTTTTCCAAAGCATTTGCACTACTTTTGCATTGCCACTAGCAGTGTACTGATAGATTTTTTTTTTTATTCCTAGAAAGAGATTAAAAAAAAACTCTCTGAAATGCGAGATCTTGAAGAATCAATGTCAAAGCTTCAGCTGGTAAGTAGATATTGTATTGAAATGCTAGAATTTTTAATGAGAAATATTGTGTCCTTTTTTTTAATATCTTGTTATTGTTGATTGCCGTCAAGTCGAGCACAACTCATAGTGACCTTATGAAGAAAAGAACTGAAGCGTCTCTATAACTATCGTCGTTTCTCAAAGTTCATAGAGTTTCCAGAAGCGTGTTATTTAGGAAGTGGATGCCACTTCTGCTTCTAAACCTATCTTAAACACCTCAGTGGCACAAGGTTCAGTTTCACAGCAACCCCTGGTTATCTGAGTACAAATAACAGAAGAGTTCAAATTTGAGAAGTATGTTTGGAATATTACTGTTTTCTCAACATTTTGACTTGCAAGTTTTATCAACATTAACTACTTGACAAAGTGGTTGACAGTTACTGAAAGCATTCCACTCTCTTTCAGTAACTGTGTTTGACAGTAAATATCATATTCCTGGATGTATAACTTGTTCTAGTAATCTTGAAATGAGAAAAGGATGACCATCCTGGTGTAAACCATCATCTAGCATATAATCCCATTAGTAGAAGGAATGCCTTTCTTATTCTAGGTAGAAGTTTCTTAGTGCTCACCCAAAACATTATTCTTTATTTTTTAATAGCTTATTAAATTGCTAGTTTCTAAGAAAATGAAAAGAGGATGAAGACTATTTTCCATGTTTTCTCATGACTTAATATTTTTTGGGGGGTGGGGGAGAGCTTTTAATGTTTTTTTGGTTTTTTTTTTTTAATGTTGTTTCAGATAGTGTAGAAAAGTGGCATTCACACCTGGTCCCATGCCAGCTGGCTGCTGAGAGTGCCATTCAGTAACTTCCCATAGCATTTGTGATTTAATTTTTATACTATTTCACTGCATTGTTCTGGTGACATAAGATGAATTAAGAAGGAAGCCACAAGAGGCTATTTTTGTGTGCGTATTATAAGCAGCATATCACAGTCATCTCCTTTTTCTGCAATGTTTTGTCTTATAGTTTAGTCCAGTTATTAAGTGGACTGACTGATTTACTAAACCTGGCATATGTTGCCTAGTTTTAAGTCCCATATTTTCTGTTTCATTGTTGTCAAGTCTGAACCAACTCATAGGTGGCCCTTTAGTACCTTCCCAGAAGCTGTAAATCACATAGGAGAAGATTGCCCATCTTTCTTTCGTGGAGCAGCTAGTGAATTCTGCCTTTGGATTTACAGCACAACTCTTTATCCAGTGCTTCCTACTATAAAATTCTCTGATGCAGTCAGTAAATATAAACATGATATTTTGAGGACATTTTCACCAAATAGAAGCTCCATGAGTATAGAAAATTTTACTGACATTGATGCTACATTTTCAGCACCTAGAACAATGTCTGGCACTTTCAGATGCTCAGGTATTTTCCATTAATATTTTAATGCATACTTCAAAAAGATGGATATGATAATAATTGTCCCAGAGCCCTGTGACCAACCTGTAATAATATTGGCTTGCAATAAGATGCTTTTGTAGTGACTTTTTGGCCCTTCTTATTTTTTCCATTAGTACTATAATTATATATTTTAATGATAATGATGATATTAATTTCTAACACTTACTATGCAATTAACTGTGTTCTGAAAATTGCTTTACATCCATTGATTCCTTCCACCCTCTACACCCCTCAGTGAATACTGAGTGTCTAGGTACTGCATTTATTATCTTCATTGTGTAGATTAGGCTGAGAGAATAATACTGTAGTTAAAGGTAGATGCTGGTAGTCCTTGAACACTTTATCTTACTACCAGAGTCTTAAGGCATATCCATTTAGAAACCATCGACAGTATGCTAAGCAGATTAAAAGAAGATAAGCTGTAATAATTGTACTACCAAAATGAATATGCTTAATGAAAATGCCTTTCATTTTTAATGCTGTAACATCTTATACAATTTTTGGAAATTTTAATTATTAAAATTTGCAGGAATTAGAATTATGCCATAAAGAAAAGCAGAGACTGAGTGAAGAACTTCTTATAAAATCAGATCTTGAAGTGATTGTTTGTCAGCTTGAACAAGAAAAGCAAAGACTTACCAAAAAAGTTGAAAATTTTGCAGATAAAGGTAAGTATGAAATATTCCTAACTTAAAAGGTGGTTATGACTTTCTCTTAATTTTACTCTTAATAAATGCTCTTCCATTCATCCAATACTTTTTAAAAAAAATTATTATTTATTTTCTTGTGTACCATCGAATCAGATCTGACTAGCACAGGAGGAAGTTGGCCCTCTTTCTCCAGCAGAGCATCCTGTAAGATTTGAACCACAGCCTTCAGTGTTGCAGTGCAGCTTCTTGCCACTAGGCCACCAGAGCTCCCTCCAGTAAATACTTTTGAGTGCTTACTAGACACCAGTATTCATAGTGTAGGTACTATAAGATTAAAGTAGAAATCTTCTTCGAGGAAATGACACTGTTCGTATTTTGACTAATTACTCCAAGGAGTACTCATTGGACAGTTTTTCACTAGAGGCATTGTTCTCCTTTGAGGCAGCTACATAATAGAATTAGGATGAAGAGGAAGAACAATGTGAAATAGTAAACTATTGTAGATACAGAACCTTTTTAAGGAAATGCATTTGTACCTAAAGTATACAAACAATTGAAGTAGGCTAACATTTTGGTAGGTCCAAGTCCTTAATAACTAAAGAAGATTTCTATAAACTTTTACAGTCAGGGATTGATCGAACATGCAATCAAGATGCATTAATAATGGTGACTGGAATGCAAAATTTTGGACTAGATAAGAAAGATCAATAGTTAGAAAACATGGACTCAGGCAAGCTCTGGTGGCCTAGTGGCAAGAAGCTGCACTGCAATCCCAGAGGTGCACAGATCCACCAGTTGCTTTGCTGAAGAAGGAGGGACAATCTCCTCCTGTGCCAGTTAGATCCGATTTGACTGTACACACATTAAAAAAAAAAAAAGAAAACATGGACTCGGTGACAGAAATGAAGCTAGAGATCGAATGATAGAGTTTTCCACAACCAATGACTTGTTTATTGCAAATATGTTTTTATAAGAAACATAAACACAGGCTATACACATTGATTTCATCTAATGATATGCATAGGAATCAGATCGATTACATCTGTGGAAAGAATCGCTGGAGAAACTTATTAATCAGCTGTGAAAACTCAGCCAGGTGCTAATTTTGGAGTAGACCACCAACTACTCATATGCAAGTTCAAGCTGGAAGCTAAGGAAAAATTAAAATCCATGGGAACCAAAATTTGATCTTGAGTTTATCCCACCTGAAGTTCAAAACCATCTCAGGAACAGGTTTAAGTTCAAAACCATCTCAGGAACAGGTTCGAGGCCTTGAACACTAATGCACTAAGACCAGATGAGCTGTGAGAGGATATCAAGAATATCATCCAGGAAGATTGCAAAAGGTCAATACAAAGACAGAGGAAGAAGAAAAGACCAAGATGGATGTCAGAAGAGACTCTGACTACTGTACTAGAGCACTGAGAAGCCAAAGGAAAGGGAAGAATTCAAGATATTAAGCAGCTGAACAGGTAAATTTCAAATAGCAGCGTGGAAGACAAAGCAAAGTGTTATAATGAGTAAATATACAAAGAGCTGGAATCAGAAAATCAAAAGGGCTGAACTTGCTCAGCATTTCTTTAGGAAGTGAAGAATAAATTTGAGCTTCAAGTTGCAACACTTAAGGGTGCTTTGGGCAGAATATTAAATTACCCAGGAAGCATTAAAAGAAGATGGAAAGAGTATGTAGACTCATTGTACCAAAAGGAGTATACAGACTCATGGTACCAAAAGGAATTGGTGGACACAGAATAATTTCATGAAACAAGAGCCTGTGATGACTAAGGAAGAAGTTCAGCCTGCTCTGAAAGAATTGGCAAAAAACAAGACTCCAGGAATTGTTGGCATACCAATTCACTTATTTCAACAAACAGATGTTTCCCTGGATGTGCTCAGCAAACTGTGCCAAGAAATCTGGAGGACAACCACCTGGCCAACTGACTGGAAGAGATCTGTATTTGTTCCCATTCCAAAGAAAGGTGACCCGACAGAGTGGAGAAATTATCAATCAACATCATTGATATCACATACAAGCAAGATTCTGCTGAAGATTTTCAAAAAATGACTGTAACAGCACATTAACAGGAGAACTGCCTGAAGTGCAGACTGGGTTTAGAAGAGGCTGTGGTACTAGGGATATTGTAGCTGATGTTAGATGGAACTTGCTGAAAGCAGGGAATGCCAGAGGAATGTCTATCTGTGTTTTATTGACTGTGCAAAGGCATTTTATTGTGTGGATCAGAACAAACTGTGTCTGATTCTGAGAAGAATGGGAATCGCAGAGCACTTGATTATGCATAATGTATCAGGAGACAGTCTTCAGAACACTGCATGGTTCAAAAATTGGGAAGGGTGTACACCAAGAATGTGTCTTTTCTCCATACCTTTTCAATCTATATGCTGAATAGATTATCCGGGTGGCTGAGCTCTATGAGGAGAAATGTGTACTCAGTATTGGAAGACTCATCAACAACCTGCATTATGCAGATGACACAACCCTGCTTGCTGAAACCAAGGAGGACCTGAAGCGATTGCTACAGAAGGTCAAGGACTGCAGCCTTCGATAGGTATTGAAGCTCAGCATCAAGAAAACAAAGATTCTTACCACTGAGCCATTTGGCAGCACCATGATAAATGGTGAAGAGATTGGGATTGTTAACAGCGTTAGTTTGCTTGGCTCCACAATCAACACTCATGGTTTCAGCAGCCAGGAAATTAAAACTGGCTATGAGCCAGTTCTGACTCTCAGAGATTTTAAGCTTGGGGTCTTTTACTCGCTTTGTGAATAACTCATTTAAAATTCCTGGGAGACTTTGACTAAGTCATTTAACTTATCTGTGTTCCAGTTTCACAAGATGTTACTTATCCTAAAAGATGGTTGTGAGAATTAGAGTTAATATTTTAGTGTTAAAACATGACATTGTTTAAAAATTTGTTGTTTACTCTTCCCTCATAGCTTATTCATAACTTTTAGATATTTCAAGGATTCTTGGTTCCAATACTTTGTGTGTACCCCCCCTGCCAAAACCCCAGTCATGAAGTAGCCAAATCATTTACCTGCTACATGCATAGAAGATGGACAGCTACACACTGACTGAGTGTGAATAAGACATGCATGTAAATGAAATGGTGCCCATCCATATAATTCCTTCATTGCCATCAAATTGTAACCTATTATAATTGACTCACTGACAGGTTTTCAGAGGCTGTAAATCACTCAAGAGGAGAGTACCCATCTTTGTCCCACGGAACAGCTGGTAGATTCAAACCAGGCACTTTGGGGTTGGCAGCACAACTTTCTACCACTAGGCCACCACAGCAAATGTCAAAGGACAGGGCTAGAGGAGAAAGCAAAGTATTCTAATAACTGTACAAAGAGTTGGAGTTAGAAAATAAAAAGAGATGAACTCCTTTTGCATTTCCTAAACTGAAAGAATTGAGGAACATTTACTTGAAGGTGCTATATCAGAGGATGCTATGCCAAACAGATCTGGACTTTAAGAGGCTGGACTTTATGAGGAGATTAATGTGGCATCAGGATTGGAGGAAGACTGATCAACAACTTGGCATTATGCAGATGACACTTACCTGCTGAGGTAGAGGAGGGCCTGAAACATTTGCTCCAGAGGTTCAAGGACAGTAGACTTCTGTATGGATTAAAGCCCAACATCAAGAAAGCGAAGATTCTCACAACTGGGCAATTGGCAGAACCATAATAGATGTAGAGGAGATTGAGATTGTTAACAATTTCAGCTTGCTCAGTTCCACAGTCAATATTTTTGGCACCAGCAGTTAGGAAATCAGAAGACAAATTACATTAGGAATATCTGTCGGGAACCTCTCCAGAGTGCCAAAGAGCAAGGATGTCAGTCTAGAGACTTAAGGTGTGCCTGATCTAGGTCATGGTCTTTGCAGTTACTTGCTTTGCATCAGAGAGCTGGAAAATGACCCAAGGTGACAGAAAACAAATTGATACCTTTGAGTTGTGGTGCTGGAGAAGAGTATTGAACATTCCATCGACTGCCAAAAAAATTAACAAGTTTGTCCTAGAGAGGTTGAATCAAGCTGCTCCTTGGAGGCAAGGATTTTAAAGTTCCGTCTCATATACATTGGACACATGGCCAGAGGGGTCCAGTCCTTGGCAAAGGACATCATGTTTAGAAGGGTGGAGAGACAGCACAGGAGAGGATGATTCCAGATGAGATGGATTGATAGAGTATGTGGGGCAATGGAGGTAGGTATGTTGGGGTCAGTCAGACTGACTCAGAACAAGGTAGGCTTTGGAGCTGCTGTACATATGGTTGTTCTGAGTCAAAGGTGACTTGACAGCACATAACAACAATAGTATCCAATCAATTCCTGGGCTTTACTTTTTTCCCAGTGCTTTCAATGCAGCTTGAATGTCATTCATTATTACCACTGCTTCCTGATCATATGCTGCTTGTGATGGAGCGGATCATACATGGTCATATGTGAGATGGAGCTTCAGAATCCTAGCCTGCAAAGGGAAACTTGGTTTCACCCTCTCTAAGAAAGACCTGTTTATTTTCTTGGCAGTCCATGGTATGTTCAAGACTCTTCTCCAGCACCACAACTCAAAGGCATCAATTCTTTAGTCATCCTTAGGCGTCCAGCTTTCTGATGCATAGCAAGTAATTGGGAAGACCATGCTCTGGATCAGGCACACCTGAGTCTCTAGACTGATATTGTTACCTTTCAGTACTCTGAATACTGGTTACTGTGTTTCAGCAAACAAATGCAGCCCAGAATGTACCAAGAAATTTGGAAACACCTACCTGATCAGCTGAATGGAAGTGATCCCTGTTTGTTACCATTCTACATGAAAAGATGATCCAACAGAATATGGAAATAATTGGACAATATTACATAGAAGTAAAATCTTGCTGAAGATTATCCCAGAATTGCTAGATTAGTACATTGACAGAGAAATGCAAGAAATTCAGTCTAGGTTTGGAAGACGTCATGGCACCATGTTTACCATTTCTGATGTTAGATCT